CCCGCAGACATGAACGAGCACAGCTCCCGCAGCCACAGCATCTTCCTCATCAACATCAAGCAGGAGAACGTGGAGACGGAGCAGAAGCTCAGCGGGAAGCTCTACCTGGTCGACCTGGCCGGGAGCGAGAAGGTTGGCGGGGCCCGGGGACCCCCGGGGGGCTCCTGCACGAGCCCAATGGGGCGAGCGGATGCGCGGCCCTATGGGGGGAGCCCTGAGCCGCCCCGGCCCCCCAGGTCAGCAAGACGGGGGCCGAGGGGGCCGTGCTGGACGAGGCCAAGAACATCAACAAGTCGCTGTCGGCCCTGGGCAACGTCATCTCGGCGCTGGCCGAGGGCACGGTGAGCGCGGCGCCCAATGCGGGCAGGGGTCTGCCCGGCCCCCCAGCGCCGCTGAGCCGCCCCCCTCCCCATAGAAAGCCTACGTGCCCTACCGGGACAGCAAGATGACGCGGATCCTGCAGGACTCGCTGGGGGGGAACTGCCGCACGACCATGTTCATCTGCTGCTCCCCGTCCAGCTACAACGACGCCGAGACCAAGTCCACGCTCATGTTCGGGCAGCGGTAGGGCCCACGGGGGCGTCCCGGCACCCCACGCACCCCCTGCAGCCCAATTACACCCCATGTACCCATTGCACCCCAGCTACACTCCTTGCACCCCAATTACACTCCTGTGCACCTATTGCACCTCCAGGCATCCATTGCCCCAACTGCACCCCATGCACCTATTGCACCGCCATGCATCCATTGCACTGCATGCACCCCATGCATTTACACCCCATGCACCTATTGCACTGCCATGCATCCATTGCACCCCATACACCCCATGCACTTACACCCCATGCACCTATTGCACCCCCATGCACCCATTACCCTAACTGCACCCCATGCACCTATTGCACTGCCATGCATCCATTGCACCCCATACACCCCATGCACTTACACCCCATGCACCTATTGCACCCCCATGCACCCATTACCCTAACTGCACCCCATGCACCTATTGCACTGCCATGCATCCATTGCACCCCATACACCCCATGCACTTACACCCCATGCACCTATTGCACCCCCATGCACCCATTACCCTAACTGCACCCCATGCACCTATTGCACTGCCATGCATCCATTGCACCCCATACACCCCATGCACTTACACCCCATGCACCTATTGCACCCCCATGCACCCATTACCCTAACTGCACCCGCACCACCATGCATCCATTGCACTGCATGCACCCCATGCACTTGCACCCCATGCACCTATTGCACCCCCATGCATCCATTGCCCCAACTGCACCCCATGCACCACTATGCATCTATTGCACTGCATGCATCCTATGCGCTTACACCCCATGCACCTATTGCGCCCCCATGCATCCATTACCCCAACTGCACCCATGCACCTATTGCACCCGCATGCACCCCGTGCACCCCAATTACACCCCGTGCACCCCAATTACACCCCATGCACCCAGTTACGCTCCTTGGACCCCCATGCACCTCCTGGACCCCAGCTGCGCTCCATGCACCCATTGCACTCCCATGCACCCCAGTTACCGCCCTGCACGCCTTGCACCCCAACTACCCCCCTGCTCCCATCCAGGCTCCCGTGTTGCTCCCCATGGGGGAGCAGCAGTTTGGGGGCTCCAGGGCAGAGATGGGGGGCTCCGGGGTGGTCTCTGGGGGATGCTGCTTGGTGAGGGGGGCACGGGGGGGTCCTGGCTGAGGTCGCCCCCTCCCCAGGGCCAAGACCATCAAGAACACGGCGTCCGTGAACCTGGAGCTGACGGCCGAGCAGTGGAAGAAGAAGTACGAGAAGGAGAAGGAGAAGAACAAGGCGCTCAAGGAGACCATCGCCAAGCTGGAGGCCGAGCTCTGCCGCTG